AAACATTTAAAGCACCAATAGAACTAAACTAAACAACGATCCGAGCAAATTTCAATATAGACTGTCAAAGTAGGTAGGTATATTTGGGCTAGGAACAAAAATCTGGCACTTTGAATTTGATTATAGCAACTTATAGAAAACTTATTGAGCGAGCTTTCATGCTACAAATACTTTGGTAATTACTACTGTCTAAAACATTTCAGCGTAGCATAGATCGACTGTTGCTTTGACAAAAGTCATCAAGTTGGCCTCAATTTTTTATATTCATTATGAAGTGTACGTATCTCTCAAACTGTGTCAAAAATGTCAATTATACAAAACAGTATGCATTAATGAAACACATGCGTTTTTCTCTATATTTTCTTATATGAACAAAAAAACGCCAACATGACTATTGTTTCAATGAAACACAATTAGACTGACAAATGATTTTTAGAGAAAATTTTGGATTATTTTCATTAAATTGTACATCATGTTGTATATTTAGAACTTAGAATTGTTATTTTCTATGTATAATGCAGCAGTATCCTTCTAATCTCCAAGACGTTTAACTGGAAGAAAATCTGCGCCGGTATCTGCTAACAAGAAGACAGAAGATCTGCTGAAACAATGTACAGTATATTGGATAACCAAGTTAAAAAAAAATAACATAAATTTTTGGCATATTTCCAAAAGTGTGTATTCTAACTCTTTTATTCGTACATTTATTATTTTTAAATGACCATGATCAGCGTGGATTGAAAGCATTTGCCATATATTTTCGAATAACTTATACGAAATTAACTTCTGGAATATTCTAGACTTAGTAACTATTAAGTACCTTCAGATTCTATTTATTTGACTCTGACAGCAAAGCCCAACAATGAATTTTACGAGATTTTAATATTTCAAATTTTTGTAGTGAAGTAAAGACGTATAGAAAATCTGAATAAATCTGTGAAATAATCTAAGATAATATAATTTCATTTCTGAAGAGGAGGAGGAAATAGCTACATGGTGAATTTTTTGTGTGCTTGGCCTGAAGAGTCAGTGCTTTATCCAACCAAGAATAACTGTGGGATGAGCTACCTATCAAGCACGTCTCCAGGTTGCGGACAGGGGGAGTCTCCCCTCAAGGGGGCCGTCTTGCCTGGACATGCCTTGGTGGTTGCTGGCTTAGACGACCGCGAAGGCGATTCATTAAAGACAGACTGGAAATAAACGTGCCCTCCCGGGAATAAACACCTGGCGTGACAAGTTCCCGCATGTTTGTGCCGGACGTGGAGACCCATAAACTGGGAGAAGTCTGAGCACGAGTAGCCTCACTTGTTGAGGCTACGTACTGCAGGATGAGCTTCTCTGAGAGTTATATCCTTCTACTAGCCTTGGTCTCGAAGTTCGACGTGCCCTTGTTAGACTCCGTGGTGGGTGCGGACGCAGAAGGACGAAATGAAAATCCAAAAATATGGATAAGGAAACAAAAAACACACTGAGGAAGTGCCTTCGGGTGCACCTCAAACCGGAAACCCAGCCACCGTGAGGTTCCAACTTCCTAAGAGGACGCGAATCTGCGGGGCTGAGGTAAAAAGGTGAAGGAAGGCTCGCTTGCAAGCGGAGGCGTTAAATGCCGATCCGTCGAAATCGGACCCATCCTCTTTCGGGATAAGCCCCAAGAGCAAAGGGCAAAACAACCCGGGAGAAAAAGATCTTAGGGTCAAAAGAGAGAGTGTGGTCTTCAATCTTCACACCTCCGGTAGCACAAAAGCAAAGGATCATGAGAAACCATCTCTAAAGAACATAACTAGAGGGAGATAGCTGCAATTAATCTCCTTGTAGCTGTGATTGATGTACAGCATCCATTTGGCAAGCTGACTGCTGACCAGGTGGAGATGATACAAAATGTCCTGACGGAAGCACTGGACAGACAACTTGCACACGGCCTGGCATCGAAAAGACAAGCAGCCACTTTCAGGGGCATTAAGTACACAAAGGAAATCCCAAGCATAACCTGTGAAGACGAGGTGTCTTTGGACTGGCTAAAGCAAACAGTGGGCTCTCTAGCATTCTTGTGGGAAGGCGCACAACTTAACGTGGTTTCCCTGGCTAAGCTACCAAGGCTGTGGATACCGGGACCACCAGTGGATGCAGAGGTCATAGTTCGCCGCCTGGAGGGTTAGAACCAATGAGCCTGCGTCAAAAAATGGCTTCTCTTCCATCACGAGCCCAAACCCGAGGCTGCTTCACGGGCAACCTCTTTGTGTTTGGTCTTAGGATAGATGAGGCGAAAACAATCAGTTGGAAAGAGGGCAGGATCAACAATATATATTATCATCTTTCAACCTGAAACTTAAGCAGAACGAGGCGTCGACTCAGGAAGGGCAGACCCCCATGGAAGAGCCAGAAACACCAGGAAATGAAGCCTCTACCAGTGGGAACGGGTTCGCCTGAGACATAAGCCTCGTGTCTTCTAAGATAGGAATGAGATTTTCGGTTGTAGAAATGGCTCTCTTAAAGATACAGATTAACCTGTAGCATTGTCGCACGGCGACGGTTGTTTTTGTCGTCGCTTAGACAAGATGTAGAACACTATAGCAATAATCCAAGAACTATGGATCGTAAAATCCAGGAGCGCGGGGTTGAGCAATTTAGATGGATGGCACTGTTGTTTCAAGTACCACAATAGAATCTCCAAGGACATGTATTTACATTCCCAGGAATATTAACATTGTAACATAGGAAGAGGTGAAGAGCAACTGGTAATAGAACCCGTGTATTTACCAAAAGGAGTTTATGAACCATGTCCAACATGGGAGATCGTGAAATTTAAACCTCATCATTGGTATTGATGCAAATACCCACTGTTTGCTGTGAGGAAGCAAAGGTAGTAATGAAAGAGGAAGAACACTATCTGAATATCTTTTGGCAACAAATCTAGAGAGCCTCCATCGCGGCTGCAAACCAACTTTCTTAATATCGCGTAGTCACTCATTAATATATATATAGATTATATTGGCTACATGGGATATCCTACAATATATAATGGAATGGCACGTCTTTAAAGAGGCGTTAGTGTCAGACCATAGATGGATTATGTATACGTTAAAATGTGTAGACATAGAGACAAAGACGTCCAGAAACCCTAGGCTGACGGACTGTGTTTTTTACAATGGAAAACTGGAAGACAGTCGATACGAATAGAATATAAATCGACAGAAGACATAGAGAAAAATTTAACCATTATCAACCACTTTCTAATATGTCAGTTTATGAGAAAAGTTGCCACCTATAAAAGGAAGGCCTAGGCAAATGTACACCATGGTGGAACCGAAGGCTCAGCCTGTTTCAATCGGGGCTAAGAAAACTTTTCCATAGATCAAAAAACACTAAGAAAATTGAAGACTGAGAAGCCTAAAAAGAACACTAGAAAGAGTGTAAAAAAGAATTAAGAAAGAGGAAGGGGAACGTGGAGATCCTTCTGCAGCGACATAACGTCTACTGCTTCGACCGCAAGGTTGAAGAGAGTTCTCTCAAAAGAATGCACACATCAACCAAATTTCCTAAAGAAAGAAAATGGTATTTTTACAGCCACTTTAGTAAAGTCCGCAGAACTTTTGCTACATACTATCTTTCCAGGCAGCACAAGGACTACCTTCCATTCCAAAAGGGATGTATCCGGTACTCAACCTTCCTCCAAGGACTGTGCACTGGCGGCAAAGGTAGGAGGCAAGACTGGAGTGGGCAGTTGACAGCTTTTCCCCATATAAATCTCCGGGAGTAGACGCTATCTATCCCACCCTCTTGCAGAAAGGAATGAATAGACTGCGCCCTCTCTTGGTGATAATGTTTTGGGCGTGTGTTGCTTTCAGCTACATACCGAATCCATGGCGAAAAGTAAAGGCTATATTTACACCTAAGCCAGGACAACAAGATTACGCCTTGGCTAAATCCTACAGACCAATTAGCTTAACATCATTCTTGCTGAAAACGCTAGAAAAAACTAAACGAAAAAGTAGTTCGGGAGACCGCCTTAAACAAGCAACCTCTACATCCGAACCAACATGCCCACATTATTCCAGGAAGATCTACGGATAAGGCTTACACACAATTTGTTTCGTATCGTACAACCAATGTGTTATGGCTATTCGATTTTGTTGCTGCGAAGGACCTGAATTAATTAAACATCTTTTATCACAATCAAGGCTTTATTTTTAAGGAAGCAGCTGACCGACTTGGTCTTACACGTTTGGTGTTGGCGGTGTGACTGGCGGCTGCCTTGGTCGGTCGGTCGGTCTTATGAAAGAGACCAACCGCCAACGGGAGCAATCATCATTCGCCGGGGGACAAAGAGTTCGCCGCCAACGAACACCTGCAACTCTGAACATACTCCCCCCGTTGAAAGATGTAGCTTTCAAATGACAACTTGGGTAATGAGTTAACATGTACATGACAAAACAAATAAAGATAACAAATATGCACTGTACAACAACTGTACAGTCAGTAGAACATAAAATAAATGGACATGTATAAACAAAACGGAAACATAAATCCAAATGAACGAAACTGCAGAACGAGAAAAGATAGCGCGCATCCTGCACAAAAGATTTGATTAAATTAACATACAGAATAGACACAAACATGTAACATATAAGAAAACATGAAACGAAAAAATTATTATAGGCAGAAAATGGTTAGAAATAACAGGTACTCATGTCCGTTATTAAGTCTTGTTACTCCGTTATTCGACCGGTAAAACACATATTTTATTAAGCGTACGCTTCACTACACCATTATTTGTTTTCACACTTATTACGCGAACACAACCATCACTATCAGGATGAAGGTCCTGGATGCGTCCCATCTTCCACAATGATGGTGGAAGATGGGACGCATCCTCTTCTAGGACTACGAGTGCTTCACGTTGAACTGGTTCTTTGGAACTCGCCACTTTGTACGTTGCTGAAGTTTATTGAGATATTTGAGTCCAGGATAGTCTATGCACCGCGAAGAACGGCACTACTAACTCATTCAAAATCAGTCACAACTACTTTCGTGTCGTCATTGTCCACGGGCAGACGACATAGTTTGTGGAAGGCACGTTTTATCATTCCCCCTTTAGTGTTTAACGAGGCCACTCTGGGAAGTTCGTCCTTGCCGTAGTGCAATTCAGCGACGCGCCCTAGGTGCCACCGCAATGGAGGTAGCTCGTCATCTGCGATAAGAACAAGCGACCCGATGGTTGGGATGTTGCCCGGTTGTTGCCACTTGGACATCCTCTGCAGCTGGAGGACATATTCTCGGGTCCATCTTCGCCAGAAGTTTTGACGTAGTTGCTCGACATGTTGCCATCTAGAGAGACGGCCTGTCTTGACGTCCGTAAGGTCTCCCTCAAAGACCGCGGTCAGAGCTTCACCTGCGAGAAAATGTGCGGGGGTTAAAGGTTCAAGGTCGTTTGGGTCGTTGCTAATAGGGGTGAGAGGACGGGAGTTCAAAATTGCCTCTATACGTGTAAGGAGCGTATACAATTCTTCATAAGTTAAGGTCGCAAGTCCTATCGTTCTTTTCATTAACATTTTAACTGATTTCACATTAACTTCCCTTAACCCGCCCATATGTGGTGATCGCGCCGGAATAAAGTGAAATTCGATGCTCTTTTTGGCCAACTCATCTATTACGCTCGACTGGAAATCGGATGAATTTAGGAAATGCTTAAGTTTTTGCATTTCTTGGTTCGCTGCCCCCACGAAATTTGAACCGTTATCAGAGTATAAATGTCGTACATGCCCCCTTCTGGAAACCAGTCTGTGTAATACCCCTAAAAATGATTCCGATCTCAGGTTGCCGACTAATTCTAAGTGAACCGCCTTAGTCGAGAAGCAAATAAATATGGCGATGTAAGCCTTTACTGTTTTGTTTCCGCGACCGGCAGCTTCCTTGATTAAAATGGGACCTATGTAATCCACGCCCGAAATGAGAAAGGGTGTGTTGGGTTCCAGCCGATGGGCAGTTAATCTCCCATCATTTGAATAATTCTTTTCGGGTTATAGCGGTAGCAGGGAATACACCTGTGTATAATCTGCCTGATAACGCTACGGGCCGATATGATCCAAAAATTTTGCCTTAGAGCCGCTAGTGTACCTTCTGTCCCGCAATGCAAATTCTCAAGGTGATATTGGGTAATAAGCAGTCTACTTATATCATGATTATTTGGCATTAGTATCGGGTGCCTGGTGTCAAATTGCAATCTGGCATTTCTTAAGCGCCCGCCGACCCTGATCAAGTTGTCCTTTGATAGGAACGGGTTTAATGATAGAATTGGACTTTTATTGCCAATCGGCTCTCCCCTTTCCAGAGTTTTTAATTCGTCCGGAAATGCGTATTTTTGTACCCAACGAATAATTGACAATTTGGCTTTTCGTAATTCGTGGACCTTTAAGGGCCCAGTTTCCCCTGGTAACTGTTGCTTTGATTTTCTGTGTCTGTCCGACCAACGCAAGCAATACGCAATAACACGATTCAATTTATGAAAGGACGACATTTTTGTCATTATAGGTAATGACGTACTGATTTCTATTGCGGTTACGCCTGCAACATGTTTGCGTTTTTCGGGCATTTCGTCAATGTGAACGACAGTGGTGCTAGAACTCTGTGGTAATCTTACTTCGAAGTTTGAACAAAGCCACGTCGGACCCTTAAACCATAAATCGTTATTGATCAATTCTTGCGGTAGAAGACCACGACTAACTAGGTCCGCGGGGTTTTCTTCACCCTTGACATGTCGCCAGTCTGCTATATCAGTAAGATCTTGAATTTCGGCTACCCGATTAGCTACGAACGTTTGCCACATGTGTGGACTATTATTTAGCCAGGCTATAACGACTTTAGAGTCTGACCACAAATACTGTCTGGTAATATTTACATTTAACGCCTTTTTAACGGCACAAATAAGTTTCGATACGAGTAATGCACCGCATAATTCTAATCTCGGCAAGGTTACTGTTTTTAGAGGTGCGACGCGTGATTTTGTACCAAGTAGACGCACCGAATATTTGCCGCATTTGTCATACGTCCGTACATATACGACCGCTCCGTACCCCTTCATACTGGCGTCGCAAAAACCGTGCAATTCAAAGCCAATTATCTCGTTGAGATCGGAAATTCTTCTAGGAATGTGTAATTCGCGAAGATACAACAATTCCTTAATAAATTCACTCCACACATAGTAGATATCTTGTGGCACAGATTCATCCCATTCGATCTTTAACGACCATAATTTCTGTAATATTAATTTCGCCTTTAACATCACCGCCCCGATCAGACCTAATGGGTCGAATATCTGTGCAATGGTCGATAAAATAATTCGTTTGGTCACCTTTGATTTGACGTTGATTGGTTTTACGTCGTACCTAAGAACATCTGTTTTGGGGTCCCAAAGTAAACCCAAGATTTTTGTCAATTCGCCATCGTCCAATTTTACTAAAGAGCCATGACTATTATCGGCGGTCGGAAGCACGGCTGGTACGTTTGAAGCCCATTTACGTAATTCGAAACCTCCCTGTTTTAAGATCGCGGACATCTCTTCGCGAAGGGTAATTATTTTTTTTTTGTTTGTTGAGTTAATTTTAAGTTAAGTTAAGTTAAGTTTACTCATCGTTATGTTTAAATATTTATTTTGGATAAGGTTAATTGTCCTATAATTGGAAAATTTTTTCTGTTGGGCAAAGAAAAAAAAATATATATTATTGTTATTATTATTATTATTAATTCCGAAATCGTTTGGGCACCCGTCAACAGGTCATCCATGTAAAAATCCCTTTTGATTATAGTACTCGCTGTGGGGTACAGATCTTGATTTCGCGTGGCTAACTCGGACAAACAACGGGTCGCGATGAAGCTGGCCGGTTTCGTACCGTATGTCAAGGTGGTCAATCTGTACGTTAGTAATTCTTCGTCGGTTTCCTTACGCCATGGTATTCGCTGATAATCCGTGTCGCGCGGGTCCATTCGGATCTGCCTGTACATTTTCGCGATATCGGCCGTCACCACAAACTGATGAATTCGAAACCTCGTCAAGATGGAAAAAAGATCTTCTTGAATTACTGGTCCGATCATTAAATTGTCATTGAGGCTTTTACCGGTCGTAGTTTTAAAGGACGCGTCAAAAACCGTCCGCAATTTGGTTGTCGCACTAGATAATTTAAACACGGCGTGGTGCGGCAGATAGTACGAGTTTTCTAAATTTATATTCGGATCCGGTATTAGTTCCATGTGATTCATTTCCAGGTACTCCGCCATAAATTCCGAGTACTGCTCCTTAAAACCCGATTGTCTCTGCATTTTATTTTCTAATAATTAAGATCGAAACCGATTGAGGGCGCCTTGCTGGGAATTTCCCAAGTCAGGCGGGGTGCACTTGAAAGGTAGGCGCGCCACGAACCGCCCGTGTACATCCCGCTTAATGGTTTGTGAAAAATGGATTTCGCATTGTCGTTCTTCCGGAGTAACTTTGTCGGCGACAATTTTAGTGTCCTCAAGCGCAAACAGTTTACTCACTTGGTCGTGTAATTCCTGATCTGAACGTGTAAAATGACACAAGGCTCTAGGTTTATTACCGGATGCGTTTATGTTTCCTCCAACAATCCATCCCAACTGGGTTTTTTGGAAATGTGGTCGCCCCGGGGCAACATGAATTTGTCCAATGCACATTAAAGGCAAAAACAATTCTGCACCGATTAATAGATCAATCGGCCCGGGCCGATGAAAGTCTGGATCCGCAAGCTTTATATTTTTAGGAACACTTATGGTTGACATATCCATCGGATTAATCGGAAGGTTTTCTGTTATGTTACTTAAAACTAAGCACTTAATATTCTGATTGTATTGGTTATATCTAGATTTCACTGATACTTGTGTTGATTGATTCACGCTGCTAACTGACTGATTGATACCGCCGACTTGCATCTCTATTTTTTGACACGGAAGGTCTAGTTTTTTTTCACATCCTTAAAGTTATGAAATGATTCATTGAACCCGAATCTAGAAACGCACGACATTCATAAAACTTATTGTTTTTGTCTTTTATCAAAATTATGGCTGTAGAGAGAATTCCCGATTTAGATGTATTAATTTGAGAATATGAATTCAAAGATACTGTTTCCGATTGTTCCGGTGAGCTTACTTGATTGTCGATTGCATGCAGTAAAGTGTTATGAGTCTGACTACAGACTCGGCATTTTGAATTTGATCTGCAATTTTCTAATGTGTGATTGTTCCTCAGGCAATTTTTGCATAAACGTACTCGATCCACGGCTCTACGTCGTTCGCCCGCGTTAAGTTTGAGAAATTCTGAACATTGATTTATGTAATGTTCATTTTTCTTGCAATAGACACAAAATCTTTGTTTACTACCATTATTAGAGGTCGACGTAGTCGAGTAATTATTCGACCTTGAATTTTGGGCTCGAGTAAAGTTTGCGATCGGCGTTTTTAGAACAGCTGTTTGTTTGCTGGTATGAAATAGCGATTCTAAGATTTGATGTCGTTTTTCTAGAAATTTTATGAATTCCCAATATGTTGGGATTGCCGAAGTTAATTGAGCTTGCCAATCTCTTTTCGAGACGAAGTCTAATTTTTCAATAATGATTGGTATTAAGATAGCGTCCCAGCTTTCTACCGGTACCTTTAAAGTTTTAAGTGCCTCTATATTTGTTGTTAAATTATCAATTAATTCGCGTAAACAGGTATGCGACGATTTGGTAATTACTGGGAAGCTTAAAATAGAATAAACATGCTCTTGGGCAATAAGTCTCTCGTTCGCGTACCGTTTTTCTAAAAGGTCCCAAGCTATCTGGTAATTATTGTTTGATATTGATAATGCCTCTATTGCCTTAACGGCTTCGCCTTTTAAACACGATTTCAAGTAGTGGAATTTGTTGCACTTGTCCAATTTGTCATTATTGTGGATTACGGATATAAATTGATCAGAAAACGATAACCATTCTTTATAGGATCCCGCAAATGTGGGTAGATTATACACAGGTAGTTTTATGTTTAATTCGTTTGACGAGTTGTTTTCGTTTGAATTTGAAGATGTGGGTTTACCTGCCTTCGAATCTTTACGCTCATTTAGTTCTTGTATTAGAGTTTAGATAGTTGATACGACCGCGAAATACCGCGACTCAAACTTATCGCGTTCTTCGGTTTGATCTTCCGAATTATCATCGGCTGCGAGTTCGATTTGTAATTGCGTATTTTCAAAGTCTCTAAACGCAGCTTCTAAGTAACCTAAGCGTGTTTCAAGTTCATTTATGTTTTGCGTATCTGGGTTAAAATCAATTACGAAACCTTCTACTCTTGTCAATTTTCCCTTAATTACGCCGCGTGAGCGAATTAATGCTTCTGACGAGGGCATAATGATAGATAATGATTATTACGACTTAAGAATCGAAATAAGAATCGCGACTGTAACCTTATGAGGTTGCTCACGCTCAATGTTGTGACTGAAATTAAATATATATATTGAAATGTATACTCCTTAATAAGAAAGGGTGAAATTAGGAAGAAAGCAGATAGCTCTGACCTTGGATTTGTTGTCCTGGTGAGAGTACGCGTCGCTCTTGTGGATGCTGTCCTCGACTGCAGGTTTTTTGTTGAGTTTCTTCGCTGCTCTTCGCTGCTTCCTGGACCCGGGTGGATCTTGACTTTGCCTGTTAGCTTCACCCACGGGTATTGTTGGTTGACTGGACGTGGTGGTGATCCCTTAATGCTGAGAAGAATGCTGCCCACTGCTGCCGTCGTCTGATGTGGAGGAAGAAACGTGTTGCTGATGCTGATTGATGAAATAAGCCCTGATCGGAATTGATGCTGTACTTCGTGGATGAATAGGCGTGGTGATAACTGATGATGCTGAATGCCCTTTGCGAACTAGCAATGCAATCACTGCAACCACTATACTCCACTGATGAATTTGAAACTAGTAAGCGATCACGGATCACTACACTAAAACTGATTCACATCCGGTTCGTATCGTACAACCAATGTGTTATGGCTATTCGATTTTGTTGCTTCGAAGGACCTGAATTAATTAAACATCTTTTATCACAATCAAGGCTTTATTTTTAAGGAAGCAGCTGACCGACTTGGTCTTACACGTTTGGTGTTGGCGGTGTGACTGGCGGCTGCCTTAGTCGGTCGGTCGGTCTTATGAAAGAGACCAACCGCCAACGGAAGCAATCATCATTCGCCGGGGGACAAAGAGTTCGCCGCCAACGAACACCTGCAAGTCTGAACACAATTTTAAACCGTATAGAGTGAGCGATGGTGAACAAACTCTCCATCTTAGGAATGTTCTTGAATATTGAACGATCTTCAAAAGCCTAGGACTAGCTCTACAAGAGCACGACCTGAACCCCACTCTGAGTAGGTGGGTGATTGGTATGCTGAGGAATAGGGAAGTACTGATTAATGTAGGTGGCACTGAGATCGAGGGTGTTGTAGGCAGGGGATGTCCCCAGGGCAGAGTACTTTTTCCTGTGCTGTGGGATACCGTCGTTGACGTCCATGATCTTGGCTACCACACAATTGGATACGCAGATGATCTAGTCATTTTGCTAACAGAAAAAAAAGCAGACATTATGTGAAATAATACAAACTGCAATAACAATAGTAGAGGAATGGTGTAGCAGACATACCCTCTCCCTTAATGGAGAGAAGACGAAATTAATACTGTTCACTAGGAGAAGAAAAATTGGTACACTACAGATGCCAAAAATATTTGACACAACGCTTCAACTTTCTATTTATTTATTTTTTATTTTATTTTATTTATTTTTATTGAAGAACTTTCGGACGAAGTCAAATACCTGGGAGTTGTATTGGACTGGCAACTGAAATGGAAGAAGCACGTAAATAATGAAGTGGAACAAGCACGCTCGGCTATTTGGCAATGTCGTAGGGTGGTGGGAACGTCTTGGGGTGGCCCAGAGCCAAACAAAAAACAACAACCTTGGACACGTTCAGAGAATGGCGTGTCTCAGTGTGACAGAAGCAATGAGAAATACTCCCACAGCGGCTCTGGAGACACTTCTTCGCTTAGCAATTCTTAACCTTAAAAAAGAGTAAGAGGCAATGAGGACGTCACTAAAATTCCACTCTCTGAGTATCTGACGGAGGCGTTCAACAGAATACCCTTGTTAAGGACAATAATTCATAAGGACGCACCGACATCGATTTCTATGTCGATGGTGCCAAAACAGATAGTGGTTCAGGAGCCGGCATCTACTCTGAACAACTGAACGCACAAATCAGTGTGCCTCTCGGCACCCATAGGTTTGCCTTACAAACATAAGTGATGGGAATAATGCTGGGAGTTAGAATTTGTTGCTGAACATGAAATCGGCAACAAATCAATACGCATGCTTACTGACAGCAAGTCGGCACTACTAGCCCTGAACAGCTGTATGGTTCGATCCGGGGTGGTTTGGGAGTGCAGACAAACGCTAAGGTATGTAACGCAGAGGAATAGTGTGGAACTTTGTTGGATCAGAGGACACAGTGGCAGCGAAGGAAACGGGAGGGCAGATGAGACGGCGAAGCGTACAACGCGCATGTCCTTCTGGAGACCTGAACCGGCAATCACGCCTTCGGTCACCCTCTCGAACGAACTCGTAAAGCAATAGACGCCATGAGCAATGTTGAGCAGCTGTCGGCAGAGTAGAGCTTGTACAGTAAACTCATTGATAAGTCAAACTGGCTATTGCATAACTTAACTCAGTTCACAGCGCAATTATGGCAACAATGGACAGTAATAATCCTTGCGGTTCGGGATCATAAAGCTTACAGTAGTCATTTTGACTTATAAAGGTAGTTTGGGTTAAACCGCTTAAGTCATAAAAGTTTTACAAGGTGTATGTCAAATGAGTTTACTGTATAGCAGCATCAGATCGTAAGTTGACAAAATTTTATCTCTCATTTTCAAGAGACAAATTGCGTAGACTGGTAAGATTCCTTAAGGGTCAGTTTAACAAACATCTACATCATACGATAGAAGTGGTAACAGACCTAATCTGTCGTGGATGGAATGAAGAAGAAGAAACAGATGAGCACATTCTTCGTGAGTGTGCAGCGCTACCTCCTACAGGAAATCCATACTAGGGGACATCTGGCCTAGTATGGCAAAAATCAGGAAGTTCCCACCCTCTGCATTACTCAAGTAAGGTATATTGAAGCAATTGGGTGGCTTGACGACTAGAGGAGCGGGAAACGCCCTGATATAGATCTGGGGAAGGGACAATGGGCCCAAAGGCTAGGCCTAAGTGCCGGCTGGCTACGATTAGCCCCCATATAATTAGAAGCCAGAATCCAAAGTGACTGTGCACTGTGTAATATCGGGTGATTTTTTTAAATTTCTGCTCTAGTTGACCATGACACTTGCATTAACTGTTTCAGTTGTACTGCTGACGTACGCGTCATGGCAAACTAGAGCAGAAATTTAAAAAATCACACAGTATTATTTACGCTATAGATCACGTTGATGACTCATTTTTCGTTCAAATTTCATGCTTCCTAATCTTAATCTTAATCTAAATTTACATATGTCCAAATCTCCATGTAATATGTCTACTAAACTTTACAATAAAAAGAAGCAGATTTTCTTGCCCTGACAATGGTGCAACAGCCGTGTTGTATTTGCTGCTGGATCAATATGGCCCCATTTTTAAAACTTGACGACTGTCTGGCAAATATCCAAGCCTGCATAATGTTAATGTTAAAATCTAGTCCTTTCGTTTTCAAGACGCTTATCGACAATTTGACATGTACCCAAGATATTACTAAATTAAGAATTTACTATTTTCTATTTTCTATTTTCGAAATTGAAGTTGAGATGAATGCAATGCATTACAAATGTTGGTCTTCGGAGTGTTTTCGTTGTTAAGACGTTTTGAACTTTATATGAACTATGAAAAGTTTAGACTACCTTTGTTGTTTAAAAGAGTAGCTACACAATGAAGAAAAAATGGGTTACACGTAGGAAATGGTTGTCAACTCAAAAAAATTTATGCAAGTGCTATGCCACGTTATTCTAACAACACGTTCTTAGTAAGAACAATATGGACTCTAATCAATAACTAATTAAGTAAATAAACAAAATAAGTTTAATGCCATTTCGATTACCTTTCGTTTTAAATGACGATTAAATTATTATCGGAACACAAATCTATATACAAAGTAACAAATTATATCCGCATAAACAGAAACGAAGTAGCAAACAATTGGTTTATCAATTGTTGTTTTCTTATTGTACCACATTATTATGTATCGGCCGCACAATAATTTAAATTCCCTGAAATTAATAATGTTCTTATTAAAATTGTTAGGGTTAATTTCCGTTTCGTATCACGAAATTCAAAAAAATAAAACAGTCTTTTCCAAAAGAAACCATATTTACTGTGTCGTTATTGCTATAGTCGTTACTTTAGTGTCATTCAACGGTGTGCAACAGTGTCCTCGCTATTATTCGAATATGTTGTCCAAAATATATATAGTACAAAGATATTGTGCCGTAGCACTAACAACATTGACGTATATTTTTAATATCATATTTCGGAAGAAAATTGTGAAGTCAATAAAAATATTGTTAGAAACTGACAAACAACTTGAAGGAACGTCGTTAGAAGTAAAACAGACCAAGATGAAAACTGTTTTTGTATATGGTTTTATGGCATTTATATGGGCAGCCGCTACAATTTGTAATGTTATTTATGAATTCCACGGACTCAGTAGTGTGTGTAGTATACCGTATCATATAACTACTATCACCGATGCCTTAATGACTTGCTTCCTGGTTCTTATGTTGATAGAAACAACAAACAGGATTTCTATTTTGAACAAAAATTTAACACATATCTTGAATCAGTCGTTTTATGACGTTCGTACAACGTATAAAGAACTCGTCAAACTAAGTCAAATTCATGGTAATTTATGTGACGCTGCACGATGTATAAACAGATTTTTTGAAGTACAACTACTAACAGCCTTCAGCATCTCGTTTTACTTTTTTATTTCAAGTAGTTTCTTTTTTTTTACTGTGCCGAATATACCGCAACAATATGGACACCTATATTACATATTTAATGCTTTAATTTTTAGAATGCTGTTTCTGTCAGGTCAAATTTGGATAGCAGTTTATAGTTTTTGGACCACCTCGAAAGAAGTAAGTTTTGAATAATTATTATTATATTTTTTATAATTTGTTTGTTAAAAAATAGCTAAGATTCCGCTGAAATTAACTATGTTTTCAGGCAAAAAAGACCGCTGAAATTATTCACGCTTCAAGAACAACCACAAATTCACAGCTGAAGTTATGGGTATCTATAAACTTACAGAATCTAAAAATTTCGCATTTTTATAGTAGGTACTTTTTTAGTTAGAATCTTTTTCAATGCAGTTTCTCTTTAAAAATGTTAATTTTACCATTCTTGGTCTGTTTCCCATAGAATGGAATTTTATGTTCCAGGTACAGAATTTCATTGGTTTATCTTTTACAATACTTACTGTATGTGTTTTATTTTAGATCTTTTGTGCAACAACTAATTATTTAATTATTTTATTGCAATTTAATAATTATTTTGTACATACCGCCTAGTTATCTCACAATAGGTCAATGTAATCAAATTAAAAAAAAAGGAATAGCGTTCTTATATTATATTAAAAATATCTCAGTTGCCTTTTTTCTTTAATTCTTACGGTAAATAACTTATTCATTTCCTTTTTAAACGATTTGCACAATTTTTTAGAACTCGTACCATTTTTTCAAATGTCACTGCTATTTCTTGGCGAATGTTGAATACATTTTTAACTGTTTATGGTTCCCAATACACTTTAAGTATATACAATAACGTAAATAAAACACTCGGCAGGAAATTCACTTATTCAGGCTTAACTTAATTTTAATCACAATATATCTAAAAGTTTTAGAATGTTGTTATTTAAGTTACTATAATACACATTTCGTGCTCACTCGAGATTTAAAAATAGTCCTTTTATGGCGTTTAAATTATTCGTAAATATTGATCCATTTTGAGAGAAAGGACCTTAAAAATTTTCTTACAGGTTTGATACCTTCTTACCGCTTAAATTTTTGAAGTTTTTATTTTCGTCCCGCTTTGCAACAAAGACGAGATGTTTTGATCACCATTAAGTTTAAATTTAATTGTTTGAATTCAAAACATAACATACCGTCTACTCGTATCTTATGTGTGAAATTATTTTTTTTGTACAACCGCGTTAAATTAACTCCTTGCATACTCTTCAGTGTGTCACAAGATGAACTTTAATTCGCTTGCAAAAATTCATCAGCCAACGCATTTTCTGTCTATATATTGAATTTAAAAATGCAGCCTTGAAACCGATGATTAGATATGTGCAAATACGTTGTTAGAAAACACTCTATATTTTCATAATTTTTCTGCCCAAAATTGTTAATAAGGCCCCACACACGCGTTTCGCCAACCACCTTGGCATTATCTAGACAGATCATAAACGTGATGCTGTTATCGTGCACGAGTTATACTCAGTATAACTCGTGCACGATAACAGCATCACGTTTATGATATGTGCAGTGCTCTGGCACTGTTATGTCCATTTTCAGGCCAGTATTATTTTCTATTTATATGGATGATAGAATAATTAATATGCATTAACTTATTTGCAGAGTGGTTTTCTAAAAATTTTTTTGTTTAGACGAGGCGGAAATTTCACATTTTTTCCTATTAAGATATAGATCTTAGTGTTGTAGAGTACTATAATATATACATACAGAATGCATTAAATTTTTCGGAATTTATCTTGATAAGCATCTTATCTGAGGCAGTTATGTAAATAAACTCATCTCAAGTTCCTGGACAAAAGTAAAAAAAGTGTTCCTTAAGTGCCTTGATCGTTTTTATTTCACGAATCATACGATGGCCACTTACTGTAGGATTCGTTATTTCTATGTTAAAATTTTATATCTCATTTCAAATTAATTTAGAGGAATAACCGGGCCCAATCGAAAGGGTAAAAATATATAGCGGTATTTAGGTGCGATATAGATGATAATTAAGGCGGCAGTATCTTATGATGTACCTACACCTCATCCGATGCATGCGCATCATTATACTTTATTGTAAATGAAAAAGTGGCGGCACCTTTACATTTGATTGCGGCAATAAACCTAAGTAATTCCAAGGTTTTAGTCTGCACTGCACGAAAAATATTTGTTGCAGTACCGAGGGTCTGACAAACGGAAAACGGATATGAAGAATTCGAATGAATCCGTAAAAATTTGTTATGAATCAATTAAAATAACAGTTTTGTAAAATTATATGAAGAATGGAATTTCTTTTTTTTTTTTTGATAACAATCTAACTGATAGAAGGTCTGCTTGAAAGTAGAGGAGGTTGATAGATAATTTCCACGACACAGTATTAATACTGAAGTACTGAAGTACTTGAGTTTAGATAGTATTTTGTTACAAATTTAGTTATAAGTAGTTTATTAGTTCTTACCATTTACACTTACTAAAACAATACATCGTCGCTAGCATGTGATCGAAATGTTCTGATCCACAGGTGGCTGTATAACGTGCTGCAGTTGGCAACATTTTTCAAACTGACATGACTAACGTTAAAATTGTCTGTCCTACTAATGACTAAATGTAAACAAAAACCCCTCAAACCGAACTATTTTAAAGCGAAATCTGTCCACAATAAGTATTCAAATTGGCCTTTTACTAAGATTCTTGTATTTATAGGTTCAAATATATCGCATAAGGAATTCGATAAGTAGGTAACACTAACGAACGCTTTAATTAACGGCCAAATGTCAATGCTTCTGCTTTATTGTCAATGTCGATACTGTTTACATACAAATCCAGTCCAAACAAAATACGCAAGTATCTATTTCACATTTTATTTATATATTTATATATAAATATGTACAGGAGGAACATCAGTACACAAGCAAAAAAAGAGAAACTTACACAAATATCAGAGTAATTTCACAACAATTGCAAAAATATACAAATTTATATACACAAAACATCCAATGTAATTATCTCAATTTAGGATTTGCTGACTAGTTATGACCCAGCAAGTGATTCAGTTTCTTCAAATCATCTATCAAAAGCAGACTTCATATCGTACTTATAAAATACCGTATAATTTTGCGGATAGTTCCTTTTAACATCCAACTCGGCTTTATCCGCAGCCATATAACAAGCACCCATAGCCATACTCTTCGTCAACCGCAACAAAGAAATCGTTCTAATCTCCGTATTTTTCCTCATCCAGGTAACGAAACCCGGTTTCAACAAATCCCAACTTATCCAAACCGAACCGACACAGAGAACGTGAACACCACCTTCTCTTTCAACTAGTTCTGAAGACGCCTTCGCTACCACAGCAGCTATAGACTTGGCCAAGTGAGTTCCAGCTTCTTCGAAAATATGTTTGGAAAGTTCGTCGCCTTTGAAGGCCAGTTCTGATATTTTTTTACACAGAGCTGCTATATTCGCCTTGTCGAATTTAGTGTAGAAGTAGTCCAAGATGTCAGCTTGTGCTTGAATGTTGAAGTGTTGTTTAACAGTGGCCCAGATGGCGTCAGTCGGAAAGGGAGGTTTCTCGAAGTTGTCCAGATCGTCGAAACAGTATTTGATGGCTCGATGCGAAATTTTCCATGCTGCAATAAACGAATCTCTGTTAATTTACATGTTACAACATTAGATATCTATCAATGATTTTCATCTGGGCGTGATAAACAGTGCATCGCTGACACTTCAATGAAACCGAACATGGTGCGACTACAACCGAAAATTCCATTGCAAGGTCGATGGAAATTTGCGTCAACACAATGAGCCCATTAGCTGTGATCAAGAGGAATTATGAATTGATTTATTGTGACCTTGTGAACACTTGTGTCCACAATTCGTATTTACTCGTTGTTATTGGAGTGTGAATTTAGTAGCGAAAGGTGAGAGTAAATATTCTTACCGCTTCCTTCGTCCCCCAGGAGGTTTCCCCAACCCCCACACTGAACTCTGTTCCCGTCTGGATTGATGAGGAGGGTGTTGGAACCCGTTCCTGCGATGCAAGTAATACCGCCCTTGTTGGACGTGGTGGCCACCGAACCCTCGGTGTCGCTACCCACAGCATAAGTTTTTGCCAAATTGGGATATGAGTCTTTGAGACCGTTGACCAGTTCTTGGTTAGTTTTTTCTTCCTCGCAGCCGCTCAGACTAAGACCCTGGAAGTTCAAGTTAGCAAAAATTATATAGTGTAGAGCTCATGGGGTAAAGTATACAGGAAGGACTTTTATTTTTTACCGCTTCTATGATAACAAGTATACAAAACTTTCGATAGAATATGTTGCTGTTGAAGTAAGACTGGTAGCCTCGTTTTTTCTGAATGTTGAAGAAAATTCCTCAATTTTTGTAATCGTTTCAAAAATTCAAAAATGCATCCAAGTGAAAATTCACATATCGGAATTTATTAAATTAATACAAAATTGTACTGAATTTAAAATGAAAAATATGGGTTGAATTTAATTTTTAAACTGCAAAACCGAATGCTCTGAAATCTTGGAGACGTTTTAAAGCTATCGTAAGCATAATACATCTATAAATAAAATATAACTATATATCTCTCTCTTCAAAAAATTGATGACGTCATCTCAAAATCTTGCCATATAAATCTTATCGAAAATGTACAAAACATAATGACTTGTGATTTATGATTACATTCATATTTTTTAGAATTCCTTATACAGACTGACTAAGAAAATTAATCAATGAGTCAATTTATTTTTTTTGATTAAATCAGGAACAGCTCACTTCATTTTTCCGAAAATTTGGGAATGCAATATGTTATTATTAGTATTACCCTGCACCTATCCTAATTGATATACTTTTCTTCTTCTTCTTCTTGCACAAATCATCACAAAATTTTGTAAACGAAAAACTCATTTGAAACATACGCGTAGCACCCTTGTTTACATTTATTTGAACATTATGTACATATGTATATTTATTATAAATTAGGGGTTCATATAAAAAAATACAATTCGAGTTTATTCATTCTTGCGTATTTCTGTAAACCATTATTATTATATTATTTAGCAAAAATCGCCTGTAAGAAAAAAAATGACTAAAATAAGACTTAATATTGTTGCGTCTCTAAAAAATGATAAAAAAAATAGTATTACTGACGCAGGAACAACAAAAATGTTTATACTTTTCAGGAGACGTATACATACATTTTAAGGTTCTGTAACTCGCAAATTAACATTAGTATTTCATTGAACTTTATAAGTGATTCGTTATGTCTACACTGCGTGTGATAAGCTGTATAATATAGTGGCCAAAACTTGTTTTTTTAAGAAAACCCGTATACGCAGTTCAAAGTGGATCACAGGTAATGAAATATTATGTATTACGCAGTACATTCCAAGTGGAATTTATTTAATTATATTTTGCGAAGATGTCATCAATTTTTGAGAATGAATGAAAACAAATTTTGCTTATCAGTTTCGTTAGTCTTTAATTACGCTTAATATTTCAGAGTAGTCTGTCATATGGTGAATTATTCAGTAGGACGACGAACCACAGACAGACAGACAGACAGAAACAATACACATAAATTTTGTATTCTACATTTTACTTTCCGAAATATAAAAAAAAAAATGCAAAAATATCGTATCAACTTTTTTAAGGTTGAACAGTAGTCAGTAGATAAGATATATTAGTAGCACGAAAAAAACATTAAAACTATTTGACGTCATTCACTAGATCCTGTTGTGTATTTTGTCTAGATTGTTTTTTTTTTAATTTAATTAAATAAATACTACTTAGTAAAGAGAACTGCAAAAAAATCTTGTAGAATAATGCATATCGGAAATAAAAAAACAATAAATAGTAATAACCGCTTAAAAATGAACCCAAACTGTGTTCACACGTACAATCTATATCGTGCCCGTAAGAGAGAAAGTTCCAGTTGTAATTTTCTTACTTATGCAGAGAATAATTTTTTGGAACAAGTTTGAAATACTTGCACGCGCGCTGCAGTAAACAAATCGCAGCTGATTGCAATGCTGCTGCACAAAATTTATTAACTTTGAGGAAAAATTATAACGTTGAACTTGAATAAACAACTTGTGTAATAAAACTTGCACGTCTACACCAGATTTAGCACAATCATTCATATCAATTTTACTATACGAACATTGGCCTTTGTTGGAAATGATTCATGCCAGATTAAACTATTGAATGAGTAGTTTTTAAAAACAAAGTCAGTCGTCATTTTTCGATGGTTAAAGAAATGTATTTGTACCATATTTAAAGCACTGGGTAGGTTTTTTCGCGATTATTTTTAGTTTCTTATCCAGTTTTAAAATATGCATACAAAAATTGAGCTGCTTAAAGCAGTCGATAATAACGTCATAAAGATGTCATTGATAAAAATTAATCCAAATGCAGACTTGTGCATTGTTTTTCACTCTTTACAAACAAAATTTCAGTTCTTAGTAGTCGTTGTTGGGACTTGGAAGTTAAATTTGGCCTGTGTGACTCATTTATAAATAAATGCATATTTTTTATAAAAAAGGTCTTCATCTTGTTTGTTATTAACCTCACACCGCTACAATTTATCGAACCTGTATATCTGTAATAGATGGTTACATTATGATTAAGTTATTCATGTTATTGTTATACAGGGTCATTATAAAATATTGTAGTCGAAGAAGGCCATGATTTTGGTGACATTTTGTGCCGCCTTTTTCAGTTTTGTGGAAAGGATTACACTAATATTGGAATTTTTATTTTTAGCGCCACATTAGTTGACATTAGCGGCTGCACTGTTTCAACGCTTCATCAAATTCTGTCAGATGTCAATAATTTTTTCGTTTGTACTGGTACGTTTTCCCTCACTTTGTGCGTTAATTGACTTGTCTTGTTTTCATTTTTGCTGTCTTCCCCTTTGTTAGAACTTTAATAAGTGTCTCAAAAAACAGTTTTTATCAAAACTACAGATCATTGTGGAATAATCTCAGGTAATGAACAGAGAGGAATAACTATGGTCAGTGTTACAAATGATTTTTTTAGTCCTTTGGCGCAATCATCATGCCTATTACCGTAATGGGGTGTTAAATGAGGATGGGGATGGAGTGTACTCTGTGGAGGCGTCTAAAAACGAGTATCTAGTGAAATGTTCTGTTGTCATTGATGAAGAATCTTTGAAGACGCTATATGGCGAATTATGGCCAGATTTAACGACACTGGTAGCATTTCTAAGTGAAAACCGACGGGGAGACCTCAAGTTAGTGAAGACGTTGTTGAAGATTTAAGGATGAGAATGGAACAAAGTCCGAATAAAGCTTTGTCAAAAATCTTTACTGTCCGGAGTACCATACAGCCCATGTCAGAAAATCGTAAAAGAGAAGTTACCTATGCATCCATACAAGATTTTGTTGGTTCAGGAGCTGCAACCAGCTGATTTTCCTTGCCGCGTTGGGTAGTGTAGTTGGTTTCAAGCTGATATGGACGATAACGGGATTCTCGATTTGTCGTTCTTTTCTGATGAAGCCTGGTTTCATCTGTTAGGCTATTATGTCAACTGACAGAACTTCAGAATTTGGTGTATAGAAAATACTCACGCTTTTGAAGAAACACCATCACACGCAATGAAGGTTGGTGTGTGGTTAGCAGACTACGATTCATAGGCCTGATACTTTTTCAAGTAAATGAATGTGATCAATAAACAAAATTAGATGTAGAAAGTGTATGTAGGTACTGCAATAAAGTTTTTTATTTTCAGTAACTTTCATTTTTCTTTCGGTGTTAGTTGCATTCTCTTAATTTAAAACTTACTTCAACTTACTGTTTAGTAATAATTGTAATTTTACTAGTAGGAAAGTTAAAAATCTTTATTAAACATTCTGTTGTTTCAAGAGATCTCATAATCAGCTACAGAACTCTTAACACTATGCTCCTGAAATTTTATTGGTTTTTTCATCTTTTTTCTTATAGAAATTTTGAAAAATCTTGATATTAGGATGGCCATGTGGGCGTGTTTTGGGTAGAACCTCTTTGACATTCCTGTTATGCAGATCTGGCATGTTTCAGATATCTAGAAACTGCAAAGCTGAAGGTAATGTTTGGACATAGCAATTTTCACCTATTGTAGGGATGAAGATCAAGGATTTCAGTTGTGTTTTTTCAAGGGAAAAGCACCGGTCACAAACCATGTCTGCACCAATATTTTGACGATTCCTTACAATTTACAAACAGAACTTTCGCGGGATCACAACTTTGGCAAAATTATTTACTGCAAAAACTCATTAGGTACTCATAGTGTTCGTTAACTGTGATAAGACTTGCTCTGCCATTGTCCATTACGTGATTTTTCACAATTTTTACCTTCAGGGTACCTATAAAAATGTAATTTTTTAAATAATTACCGTGTTCATTGGTTTCGACAAACTTAACCTCACTTTTTGGATTTCATTATTTGAAAAATTATTGCTTCTTTGCAAAACAGACCAGATGATTTATTCTGTTCAACTCCAATCGACTTTCCAAGGTGTAATTCATGACAAAGCCCTTAAACGTTTTTCTGACAATTTACAATTTTTGAAACTGAAATGTATTGCAGTGGCGTTCACAAATGCTCGATAACACTGCAACCCTTAATGCTCTGGCCTGGCGTCTTTTCGTGTCTATTTAAAATGAAATTAAACCGCGAACCGGGCATTTCAATTTTTGACACATCTGACAGATTTGTTTGGACGTTCGTGACATTTCAAAACAGTTCAAATCATTTTGGTGATTAGCGGCACGAGAAAAATTTCATTTGTTTTTCATAGGTGAGTTGACTACAATATTTTATAATGACCCTGTATAAGTACCAAGGAGATACTTAAAGTTTGGGTATTCCCAAAACTATCGGCCTCAAACAAAAAACTCACAATTCTTATGAAATCTAAATTTTCAGTACGAAGAAATTCAACCTAGACGAAGGAGACAATATTTGTTGTGTTCTATTTATTTATTATTAAGAGAAGTTAAAACACACAAAGCTTACACAAGTGGTGCCAAATCAAAAAAGGACCATCAAATATGCTATTGTTAATTTATTTACATCTCTTATTCAAAAATAATTTGAAAAAAATTGTAATATTTTCTGGTTACAAAGAATTTCTTTATTACGGAAAATGTCTCTACTTACAATGTGAGACCATCTGAGATTAACATTAGTACTTTTCGTCTTTGTTTTCTAAAATACTCACTAAGAATATTGACATTTGTTATCTTTAGTACGGTTGTCCCCAGTGTAAAATTTGTACCATTTTTTCAGAGGCATTTTTGTGTGGGCCATTAGTTTAAATTATTAGATTTTGAGCAGTTAAAAAAATCGGGGTTAACTAAATGCGTCATCGATCGGTTCCTTGCTTTTGCGATAAAAATAATCGCAAGCAAAAAAATGTCGACATGGACGAAAATGATAAGCCGCACTTAATACTAATATCGCAAACGTTTTTCTCAGGTGACTACGATTATTTGTTGCTATATAATTGGAACTATGACGTCACCGGAAAAATCTTCAAACGGTATCAGCGAACATTGAACGTCTATCATAGGAAGTTTGAAGATTTCCTTACTCCAAATTTTAGTGATAATAGTTTAAAAATATACAGTATAAAACGTATTTTTTTAGTTGGTGGTAATACACATGTCAACCATATCTATAGTCCAGTTCTAGATCGGAGAAAGATATTCACAATTTTATCAACGATTTGTATTGAAGGTGATTAAAACATTTTTATGCTTGCATATTTGGGTTATGATAGGTAACAGCTAATTGCGTATTCAATAGTAATATTATATGTACAAAGTTTATTAAGCTACATGTGTAGTTGTGTAGTTATATTGGAAGTTTCTTAACTTAAAAAATTGATGTCTATTAAAATCTTGCTTCTTATTTTTTCCCCAAAGTATGTTTAAATGAAACATAATAAACTTTGGCGTGATGTAATCGCCGCAAACTGTCCCTTATATAATTTAAGCAGTAATCTAAACTGCCAAAAATAACACAAAATATTCCAAGTATTAATTAATATTCCTTCCTTAGTTACAGCATAAATTACATTTTGTTTATAAATAATATATATGCGCAAGCACAGAGAGGTACTTCTTTCCTAACGATTACAGATACTTATAATTGTCTATAATGCTTCATTTTTGACGCTTATATCAGGCGATTATCCAAAAGCTGACAGTGATACTGGTAATTATTCGAAGTGCCCAAGTTTGGTTAATCATTAGATATGAATATGTATTATGTTAATAACGACAGGAAAACAGATACGAAAAAACATCCTGTAGGTACTACAATAGAATTACTTTGCTTAATTTATTAAAGTACTTGCTGTATATACGCTAAGATTTTGAATGTTTGAGTCTTGAATTTGAATTATATTTATATGTAACCAAATTACTTAAATAAATATTGTGGAATGTGTTTCGTAACAATACATATTTTTGTAATCCTGCTCTAATAAATGCTATAAAGATTATTCCTTCTTTGAAATACCGCATTTTATTGTTTCTCCATGCCAGTACCAAGTGTATCAGGCGACTATAAAAGTTAACAGAGCTGCAAAAATTACGTCATTATATTAACCATATAACACATATAGTATATTTTATTAGTTTATTACTTTAAATAAAAATTATGTCACACAAAGATGAATACCTTTTAACAACATTTTTTTCATGTTTGACGAACTTATATTTGCTTGTCGAAATACCGCCAGTTTATCTCACACAATAAAGTCGCCAATATCAAATTTACTTGTAAATCATAAACTTTTTAATTAATTTCATTAGAAAGTAAATTCTATGTAATCGCAGTATTTTAACAAAGATCATATTTTTATCATTTAATCAATCTAAAGCTTGTGAACTTCGGATTAAGATACTGATCGAAATCAAGAATTAACTCGAAAATATAAATGTTTTCTACTTACAAATGATACAGTTAAACCTGTTTTTATAACTGGCATTTTATCGGCCAAACCATATCTTAATTATTTCGACACAAATACTGCAATTACAACGTTGTTTCCATCAGTAAAAATAAATAGATGCCATATTAATTCCTATGAAAATTCAGTACTTCGTGGAGGCATTACCATGCGATAGAAAGTAGTTTCAATGACAACATAGTAAATAGCAAGAGCTTCTTCAACTTTATTTTTCTCTAGAAAACTAGAACTAGAAATACACTAGAGTGTCATTTATTCACTACGTTAATATTTCGGCACGGATCCAATGATATTATTTAATTACAGTACCACCTTATTCATGCACAATTAATTAAAGATTCGTTTAATATATGACAAACAAATTTTTTATTTGCGCTTAGGTTTTTCTAAACCACACATATTTCACCAGTTACTTTTTTTATTGAAGAGGAATCATGTTACATCATATTTATGTTGTCATGTTAACAATTTTGACAATTTTCTCAGTGACGATCATGTGTAGTAAAAATTAGTACAACAAACTAGTAAAGCTTCCATTGTTACGGTTAGTACTAAGAGCTGCATGATTTTTGCTTTCACTTTTCTACAGTACTTGATTTGTTATTAAATTTAGTATTTATCTTTATAACTTCTATTAATGTTAAAAAAAATAATTGTCTAAAAGTACCCACAATTAGCTGTCGATTTTTCAGTACTTTAATAATAATGTTTTCGGACGAATTTGTTAAAACAGTACCTATTTAAAATCTCAACTGCGACATAATTAGCTGAACAATGTGTATAGTTTTCTAGTCCTGCTAAATCAATCACTTCAAGTAATTCAAAATAGTATAGCTACAATAAAGTAGACACGACAGTTACTAGTTACTATGTTAATAAACGACATTTTATCAGTCGTAGTTAGCTGACGGTAGAACTACGTTAAAGACATTGCAGCCGTATTTTAACGTTTAGCTGTTGAATTATTTTACTAAATGACCTTTGTTAACGCTCGAATGTGTTATTTTGAAACTACGATAACAACTGTATTTTTGTTGACCGCATTTTTATAGCATTCAAAGTTTTTCCTAAAGATAGCAGAAATAGTAAAACTTTGTGACCTTAGAAGTACGACTTCTGGAAATCGCCGATACTGAGATAAAATATTTTCTCATTGATTGATAACATACGTCAAGCGATAAGATTTCCCTAGGTGCAAATTAATCATGTCTATTTATTATCAAAAATTGCGAAAAATTCTTTCTCAATAAACGATATCACACGAGTTTATCAGTTCACTAATCCGCTTTTATCTTTATTTTGTCGAAACTGGATTTGTTTTTATTTTCTTTGCTTAATCCACTCGTAATAACACTGAAGAGAGGAATTTAATTTTGCAATTTTATTAGCGATAATATGGAGTTCAAATGGTATGGGATATTAGTAACATTTCAACAATATCAGATTTAATATAAAACTAATAATAAAGAACGGGGAAACAGCTACATTAGAAAACAGCTTTATTACTGAAACTAGATAAGATAGGTTTGTTCATATTCATTATCACAAGTGATACAACAAACAGATTTTCGCTAATAACAAAATCCACGACTGTGGAGAACCGTCACATTATATACTCATTTCAATCGATATAGTATAACACAGTATGATGTCCCCGTTATGATAACCCGGCATAATTTCGTCACTTGACCTAACAGCAATAACATCAGACAAATAAAATCGCCAATCACTTTGGAAAAAAAAGATTTCAGGAAACTTACCAGAGCATCGAAAGGTTGATGAAAGCCCATTTTGAGTTTCAATTTAACGGCGTTTACCATATCCGCTATTCTTTTTTGGCACTCCTCCATCCCTATCAGGTGGTGGTTGGTACCAGGACCAGTGGCAGTACCCAAGACGTTGCCATTGGAGTCGAGAACAATGATATTTGAATGTGTTGCTCCCCTAAAAAAGAATTACATAATTTGATAAGGAAAACACTCGAAAAAAGCGGTTTTTTTTATCTCCCGAGTATCAGTAGCTTATTCACTTGTTCCAAAGAATACTTAACACTTAACAGCTTTGTCAGTCTTATCGCACTTGTTGAAAGTCAGACCATGAGGGTCTAGACAGGAAGCTTACCCATATCCATTATATGCAAAAGCGTTAAGCCCCAGATTTTCAAAAAACCACTCTAGTTTTAAATACAGCTAAACAACTTTCCCACGAGCATTTGACATTTTGTGTGCTTGTTACATAAAAATCTATTACCTAATTTACAAAGAGCGAAAATTTTGGCAATTTTCGCAGTTTTCGAAAATTGTCATGCCGCGTGGACTCTTACATCACCACTTTCGGACTGGTGACTTCTTCCGGCCGTTGACATATGTTAAAATTTGACACTTTTGAAAAACTTGTGAAATTTAGGGGTTACGTACCCTTCGATCCCGCCGACTAATTTGCCCATTTTCGTTGAAGATTTAGTAGAACACGCCGCAGATGCCACGCAATTTCGTGCATCACATTCACTTCGTTGCATGTTCTAACCTACTGAATGATTCGAGGAAGGTTGTAAAGCGCTAGAGGCTCGTACACGAACGTAACCGAGTCATTGTCGAACACGGACACGCCTCTGAACGTCTAAGCACATTTTTATCATTTTAATAGCTTTTGCTACTTAATTCGAACAATTGAAGTCCGTCGCTGCTCCAGTCTTCTTAATACTGTTAACAAGCTATCACAAAGAAAGAACAGGAAATGTCAATTGTGGAGGTAAAATTTAACTTTATTGTTGTAATTATACCTTGGTGGTATTTGGTAGACTAGAAAGTGAGTGAACTTACCATGTTGCAATGTCACGGTGACAGCGGCGGTGGCCTTTTGTGGTATTTGAGCCAAGTTGGGGGATTTTATGATAACAGGTTTATTGACATGCCAAGTGGGGACGTCCCCCTTAACCATCCCTCCTAGATACGACTCTGGTAACCCCACAAACGTACAAGAAATGCTAATTTGAAAGTAGTGCTTATGCAACCAGTAATACATCACTTGTTTAATCAATACTGACGCAGGTCGCGATATTTGGACGATTTGTTTACTACGAAAGCGTTCAAATAGCGCGCAGTTTAAATTTTACAAGAGAAACGAATCCAAACTCACTGGAAACAATTAAATGTTGTAACAATTTATAACACTTGCGGCAACTTCACGTCATTTCACACTGTCAGTTTCATGCAATAAAATTATTTTTGCTACAAAGTGTCAACAAGAAAGTTAAATCGGGTTTCACTGACGCAGAGGAAGCTTCTGTTTGCTGTTTTTGATTTTACTTCTCAGCAATTAAAATTGTCACTCATCCCAACTAGTTGTCAATGACTTGTAAACCAAGTAGGCTTTGCACCGTTTACAATGAAGTTGCCTTCCGGTAAATTTTGTTCTTCGTGATATGTTTTGGTCAAAATTTTGTGTGTTTGTAGTATCTTGTGTTGTCACTAGTTAGTCAAAAATTGTAGTTTTGCAATAATTCTTTAAACTTTCCGCAGTGTTAAAAAGTTTTTCAAGTCAAGGTCGTATGGCAGCAGCGCTTGAATTAGGGTTAAAATTTAGTTACGACGGAAAGGTAAGTGAATATCTCTATAGTTTTATGGTTGTTTCGAAATTTTTATCTTATTATTAAAATTGAACATTTTAGTGGATTGTAATAGGTAAATACAATCAAATGGACTTTATTGTTGTAGACAACACAGCCATATAAAGAATATTTTCAGTTGATCTTAAATATCGTCGTTGATTCTGCAATACCTGCTATGTGCACTTTTTGTCCATTTTTAGGTTTGCTCATGATTTGATTGTAAGAAATATAGCGCGTCGAATGGTAATAACTGCTATGTGTTAAAAATTCGCGGTTATTTTTAAATTAAAAAAGTCAAACAACCGCTCGAAATATCTGTTATGTGCATATAATACGCATAGCAGATATTACATTTATAATATTAGTGCCAGTGTGTTGCACATAACAGTTTGCGCATGAGTACCTACGTTATCCAGGAAAATCATCCCGCCTCACGTGTTATGAAAATAGTGCAGTTTTTTGCAGTGTTTTAATTCAAAATATACCGTAAGTATGATAAAAATTATTAATTATTTGAACCATTATTGAATAAAACTACAGATAGCTACTAGAGGTATCAAAAGAAAAAGAAAAGATGCTGCCGGAAAACGTTTAAAATCTGAAGGTCACGATTTATTTTTACCAACCCCGGCAGGAACGAAAGTTAAAGTTTGTCGCACTTTCTTTCTCAACACCTTGGCTCTAGGAAGAGATACGTTAATGAGATGGGTCAAAAAGGATGTTAATTCTAATGATTTGGCGTCCTCTGTTAGCGAGGAAGAAATTGCCAGTACTACGCCGACTGTCAAAACGAAGATACAAAAAGTAGAAGAGTCTTTACTTCCAAAGGTTCCAAGTCATTACTTATGAGTTTCTTCAACTAAGACCTACGTTGAATCGACTTTTAGGTCTACGTTACACATGCACAGTGTCTACAAAGAATGGTGTACAGAAAATAGTTTGTCAGCAGTTGGAAGAATGCAATTCACAGCTATATTAAAAAAACAGAAAATATCAATTCACCATCTCAGAAAAGATCAGTGCGATAGTTCTGGATTTAAAGTAGGTACCATTGATGATGAAGAATATAGGAATCACATCAAAAGAAAAGACGATGCGCGTGCTGCTAAGAGAGGTGCAAAAGAAAGTGCTAATTCCGAAAAATTAGTCATCACAATGGACTTACAAAGCGTCCTAGTTTGTCCAAAAACGAATGCTTCATCCATGTATTATAAACAAAAACTGCAGGTTCACAATTTTACCATATACGAACTGAATAAAGGAGATGTTCATTTATACGTTTGGCATGAGGCTAATGGAGGCGTATCAAGTAATGAATTCACTTCTTGTATAGCCGATTATATTTCTAAAATATCCAATTCTTACAAACATGTAGTTCTAATTTCTGATGGTTGTAATTACCAAAATAGAAATAAAGTTCTGGCTAGCACTTTAAGTAATCTAGCAAAAACAAAATCAATAGTTATTGAACAACTATTTCTTGAGAAAGGCCATACGATGATGGAAGCCGATAGTGTTCATGCCACTTTGGAACAGTATTTTAAACCTCCAATAAATTCACCCGCAGATTATATTGCACGCATGAGGTTAGCTAGGTCGAAGCAGCCTTACAATGTTAATGTAATTCATTACGGCTTCTTCTTAAAGTATGATGATTTAAATACAAATCTATCTTCTTTGAGACCGGGGAAAAAAACGGGTGATCCAACTGTTACTGACATTCGTCAAATAAGATATTCACCTAACGGGGATATTGATTTTCAGTTGGGATTTTCTGGTGATTGGAAGCCACTGCCCCAAAGAAGAAAAACGGGTACAAGTACTCCTAGGAGAATGTATTCATCCGCTATTCCAATAGCAGAGTCAAAATATCGTCATCTTCAAGAACTAAAAGAAGTTATAGAAAAAGACCATCACGCTTTTTATGACTCTTTGCAATATAAAGCAGATCAGGAAAAAAAACATAACAACTAATAAATATTTGTTTCCAACCATGTTATAAGATATCTAATTTTTTTTATTTTAATGTTTTTGTATTTTTGGTTTAAATAAAATAACTTTCCGATAAAAGTTCTTAATTATATTAATAGAGATTAATTTACATGTATTGTGAAATAAATGACATGTACAAAAGCTGAGCTATGAAAAATCTGCTATGTGAAAATTAGCAACATTAAATGAGTTTTAATAAACAACTGCACTAAAAACGTTATTTTCTGTAAACTAAATGTATCTTAAGCAAATTATTATTTTGTTAAGTGACTAAACTAAACGAACAAGGACTCCCTTTTTTTTGTAATTATTTTGAATTTGTTTTCCATTGAATAAATGAAGTTGTAACTCTGATGTACTATTAAAAAAATGTTACTAACATGTGTTTTATGCTTTTAATGATACCTAATTGAGTATGTACCTCCTTTTAAATATCAATTAATTTGTCATTAATCAACAAACGTTTTAAGCTTATTATATATAGTATTAATTACACTAATAAATTAGTTTCCATTGTCATTTTATAAGGTATTCGGACGGTGCTATTACCTCCGTATTATTCTCATAATTATTCTTCTAATTTCGATATATACAACCTGAAAAAAATACCATGAGACGCTAAATGTGATGATCTGGTTGCCCGTTCTGAAGAACGGCCATTTCATTGCCGTGGATTATTATTAAGGGAGGGGTGCAGGAGTGTATGAAGAAATCTGATATACAGTCAAATTTTTCTCTACAAATAATGGCCCTAGGATGCGATCACCTAAGTTAATGTCACTCCCTCTAGCAAAAGTTGTGGCCAATAACTTCATGTCTAAAGAGTCATACGAAAAGTAGATATTTCAAATTAAATTTTTATTATTTTCACGCTGCCTGTGAGGATTTTGCAAAAATTCAAGATGTCGGTTAAATTCATCTTCATTAAATTTATGAAAAAGTTTAATTCTAAACACTCTTGTACGGGAAGCCCATATTTGTGACATCTTGCTGTAATAACAGGCCGGTTGTTGTCCACGAATGTAACATGACCTAAAATAGCAACAGCAATAGCTTCATCTTTAAAAGCCCTGATGAGCCTGAGATTGTGTTTTCTGTCATTAATAGAACCTGTTTTCCCAGATTCGTCGATTAAGTTCTTCACATATTCATTCTTGTACAGTTTTAGTATAATTAAAGATAAATTCTGTGTTGTAGATGTATGCTGCACACTACGAATGTTTATTTTCATTTTTTCTCAACGTTCAGATCCATTTTGTTTTCTTTTATTATCACCCGGGAAGTTTTTTTATTTAAAATTCGATTTCTTTTGTTTCTTCTTGTGGTTACATATCTACTTATAAATTTTGGTTGTACGGAAACGATCTTTTTATTTTATTGGGTTAGCAATACTGTGGTGTAACAACTAAATTGTCATGAAGCCGTCAATTGTGGGATGCTAAGTATTATCCGTTCACGATCTTTATATAGTAGGGTTGGCCATGAAAATCTAGTGAGTTTGTTGGTATTCGATGCAGAAGAATAAAAATTCCCTGAACTTTTTTCGTTAGGTTATGTTTTATTAAATTAAAGGTTAAAAAATATGCCAGAAATATAAACATTGTTGTTCTTAGAAAGCATAAAACTTTACGCTATGTAAACAGTTATTCAGCTTTATGTAAGTGTTTATTTCATATGTAAGGAACAAACACTAAAATTTCACTTAAATTTTGTTTGTATATGAATGGGGGTTCTACATACGACTATTGTCGCATGCCACATTTAGCATCTCATCTTTAATTCTCAATCATGAGTTCGTTCTGCTTGCCCACTCTTCTTAGAAATGGAAATTTCGACCCTTGTGAACAGCCTATTTTCATATTCCAACTTCTTTTTTCACTTTTCTAAGATTACTAAAAGGGTTGGTAAAAGACAACAACCTTGCTCTAGTGTTTTGATGGGTTTAGCTCTTCTGAAACATTTTTCCGGCCTTACATTGAATGATTT